GTCGTTAGTATAGCTGACACTAGTGAACGACTAGTACTATCTCATCATTGTGATTTCTTCTAGAAAACTTGTGTTTGTTAAAGCGAATTAAATTTTACATTATAGTAAACAACGGCATCAAAATTTGCACACGTTGCTTTATACACAATAATCATTTATTTCCATCATAAATTATACACTTGGAAATTTTGGTAAAAGTATAGTATATGGACATCCTTGAGTTAACCAATCAAGATTAAGGTAACGCCCCACGTATTTAGCGCGAAACTGATGACTAGTATGGTACTATTAATCAAGTGAAAATGGGTAATAATTGATTTTTAAACTGCTTGGAGTCCAAATGAATATATATTATACAACAAAAAAGTGGATCTTAGATTGTCCTACGGCTAAATTACAAAACATACCTACTCTTAAATCAGACTGTGTTAGAGTACTTGATGTGGTCCAGTGTTTAATAAAGCTAGATAAAATACTCTCATCCTAACTCCTATTCTTAGCTCTGTTTCTTGGGTTTGTACACAGAAGGGTGGTAAGGCATTGAATTAAGGTTGTCAGTTCGTAATGAAAAACGTACCCCCTAATTTGTAAACTTAATCAAAACTCCAACCTAACTTTTGATCCTTAACTCTACCCTTTTTGGCATTATAACTGATGTCAATTTGTGTTGAAAATTCACAACACTAGCCCGACTCCTAATACGTAAACTTGACCTTTTTTCCTTTACTGCAAGGGATGATTTGGAATGTGAAGGACAATTTATTCAGATCGAAACAGTTGTTATATTGCAATAGTTGAATTCACGAGTCGGCCTAAGCTAGACCACCATTGAAAACTTGGAAACACTGGACGGCCGATTCGTCCCAGTATGGGACTCTTTAGCAGTATGCATCCACGGTTCTGCATGCGGGACCCAAACCTAGGACCTTCGATCTCACACGAGAACACTTAAACTCTAGATTACTGAACCGGTTAATGTGTGACTTCAATCGGTCCATGATCATGCGCAACCATTCATCCATTGTCCGAGGTGAATATTTGTCTCTACCCGACACGGACTGAACTCCACTGGTCACGGCTTATTGTTGATTATTTTAAAATTAGGTGGTATTTCTCAATTGGTTGGTAAGTCGCGCAAAGTCGTCAGCATGGTAAACTTTTCCACCAAAAGATTTTTATTGAACAAAATAAAATACAATAATGATTATTCACTAGTGAATTGAACGATTTAAATAGTCCTTTCATACGATAACAAGTAAAGATGTATAATGATGTGCAATGTCCTTAGCTTTTATAATTTAAGTAGATTTCTTATTTATTAAAGTACTTATTCACTGAATGAAATATTTTCTTGTTAATTACATTTTATGCAAACCAGCATAGAGAATATTGATTCGTTTTCTTTTGCGTTTGAACAAACCATTTCATGTATTTCTTATTTTGAATAAAAATACAATCTATGGCCTTTCTACAGAACTGTACGTAAAAATATGACATTTTCGACAAAAATAGTATTTGTAGATTATATCGCAGATTTATTTATTATAAAGCACTGAACAAGTGTTTCAATCGAATAAGAGATTCTTCATCACTACTCAGTCACGAACACTCAAAGACCGGATCTCACAAGAATAATACCAGATATGTGTATACAAATAATTCATACAACAGATTTTATTGTTATGCATCTTGTTTCCTTTAAGTTTATTTAGAAGTTTGGTTGAAACAGGGGAAATGTGAAATATCCCTCAGGAAAGTGAGAACGAAACGTTTCATTGATAAACCAACCACTTTCGGAGAATCAACGTCACCGAAATGGAATTCTAATATTTTTTTTACTGTAACAACTAATTAGGTCTATGTTGCATTAATTACTGGTTCTTACTGATTGTAACTTTTAAAGAAAAGACGCATATTTACTAACAGTTTCTAGTAGTGATGCAGAGTGCCTCTAATGTTAAACTTCCTAACCAAACGAAGTTCTGAAGTATATATATATATATATATATATATATATATATATATATATATATATATATATATATTCACTTTTTATGTACTCATTTCTCCTTAAACATATTCTGATTACTGATATCATCAGATATCAGTTTAATTATCAATCTAATTACTTTAGTTAGCTTGGATTAATTATTTTCTCTACATTATTGACCTACATAGAAATTCAGAAATTCGGTCAAAAAATAATGTGAAATATTTAAACAAACAAAACATCTATCTAGGACGATAACCTTTAAAAGGTCAATCAGTTCAAATGTAAGAAAACAAATACGACTCAAAGTCAAATGATCAATCCATGAGCTCATTGAAAGCGTTATCGATCGATAGTAGAGATGAATAAACAACCAACATTAATATTTGACATGATGATATAAAGAAAGTACTTATAATTATGATATGATTGATTCTGTTTATTATAAGTTAATAATATCATGATTTTATAAACCGACCAGGTTGTCATATGATTAAAGTTATGAATTTTCAAAGTACTGTGAATATATGAAGGTAACCAGACAAGAACAAAGATGGCAAGATAATCATCGAGGTTCAAGAGCAGAGAAAGAAAAGGTTGGAACACTTTGAGGAACTCTTGAATAGACCTGCCTAGCTGAACCCACTCAATATCGAAGCAGGAAACGAAGATCTCTGATGATTTTACCTACCAACAAACGAAGAAACCAGCATACCATCAGATAAATCAAGAGTGGGAAAGCAGTAGGACCAGATAACATACCAGCTGAAGCACTGAAGTCAAACAAAGAACTGCAAAAATGCACCACAAGTGCCACCGATAGACTGGGAAGAAGGGTAACTCATCAAGATACGAAAGAAAGATCTGAGCAGATATGAGAACTACAGAGGCACCACACCACTACCAGTACAAGGGAAAGTTACCAACACAGTTGCTGAACCGGATGAAAGATTCAGAGACGCTCAACAGACCGGATTCCGTAAGGATTAGTCGTGCACAGGCCAAATCACGAGACTACGGATCATTGTTGAGCAATCAACTGAATGGAATTCGTCACTATACATCAACTTCCGTAATTACGAAAAGGCATTTGGTAGTGTGAATAGGAGAATATTATAGAAACCTCTTCGACACGATAGAGTGAGTAGATGAGAAGATCATCAACATCATACAACATTGATACAACGAACTGCAATGCAAAGTGGTGCATGGAGGATAGCTGACAGACGCATTCCAAGTGAGGACCGGTGTCAGATAAGGCTGCTTACACTCCCCTTTCCTTTTTCTTCTGGTGATTGACTGAGTTATGAATACCTTGACGTCGGAAGGGAAGCACGGAGTACAATCGATAGATTGGATGCAACTGGACGATTTGGATATGTAGATGAGGCCAACCAGTGTAGCAGCAGCCTCTACAGCAGAAGGAAATCATCAAACTGCATCATGAGGAAAGCACTAACTTGGAATGATGAAGGGAAATGGAGAAGAGTCGGGAATTGGAGGCAGAAATCAAAAGAATAAATAGCAGCTGGAAACAATTGCAGGGTACAGAGTTGGATAGAGAGTGATAATGGGCGACCTATGCTCCTCCATGAGGGGTAACAGGCTAAAGTAAACAACTCTATAAAAGTATTTATAAAGAAAATAAAATGTAAAACGATAAGGTATCAGACAGAAAGAGTATGGCAGTTTACACATTACGTTGACATATCTAGTAACATTAGTAAGGATATATTGAAAATACAAATTGTGAGTTGAGAAAATATTATTACTACTCAGGAATAGTTATAGGGTGGAAGATTTATCAAGCTGAAAACCAATTTTCATCTAAACTATTTATTAACTAAGGACAATTTCAAACTCTTAATCAATTTGCACATTTTACATAAGGCAAAATCAACTGAAAAGTACGAGGTATTTATTTTTGAAAAATTGACTAACAACTATGGTTCAACAATATATATATATATACTGAGTTGTACTTTTGTTAATTCATTAGATAATCCCATCAAGACATTAAAGAAAAGAAAGTTGAGAGAAGAAATGTAATTAGTCAGTCCGTAAGATAATATGGATGGATAGGAGTGGTAAATAATGATTTTTCGAGTAAAATGTTATCTTGATAATTCGAGACAAACACAACTTAGAATTCATTACCTACTATTGAAAAGTGAACACTGATATTGTGTGGATAAAGTACTGATTGTGCTTTAATGAAGTGAAATTCTTTCATCATCAAGAAAACGCGTGCCGATAGAAAAAGTGTATTTTCCAAGTAGAAAAACAAAATTAGGACAAAACTGATAGAATATTGTAAATTGATTTCTTTTCATTTTAATGATCAAGTAATGGGTGTTATTGCTGAAAATGTTATCAAGAATAATGATGAAAGCTATCACCATACAGTTAAAGAGATTGGTATTAAAATCTTAATAGTGTGTCTTAGTTTTGTCAACTGATCACTCAATGATTAGTTTTCTCTAAACAACTTGTATAAGATGGCTTAAAAGGGATCCCTTGATAGACTTCTAGTCACACTAGATGTGGTAACTTGAGCCTACAGAAATTTATACCAAGTTCTCAGTTAGTCAGCGGCTATCATCATTATTATAGAGCCTGGCACAGATGTTTGTTGGACCAAGTCGCCATCTACATTAGCACAATGAGATGAATAGCAAAAGAGAATTGAATATAATGTAGTTGTTATGATAGAGAACCATTGAACAACGAGAATGTGGATCGAAAAAAACTGAGTGAAAAGGTATCATGGAACAGTGGAATTCATGGTCGTATTCTATGTTGTCTATGACTCACTAAATGAATATCTGGTGATTAAAACTCACCTTTACCAAGTCAAATTGTAGGATGCTGATATCTCTCACATTCCTACACAGACTGTCCAACACCGGCTTGATTATATCAATCATCCACTGAATACCAAGATTATGCAAGAAATACCTTATTGTGACAAGAAATCAGCTCTAAACCGTTTTCAGATTCCTTATCAATTTATGATGTGGAGAATTATCGACATTCTACTAGTTTGATCGAGTTGATGTTGTTGGTCATGTTCACAAAAACATAAGTATGTCTTAGAAATATATACAGACAAGTATAATTAACGGATAACTCTAATCAGGTCTTATAAATATCTCACTGATCCATATATCACAAATTATCTAAAAAAGAAAAGAATGTAAACTATGCATAAATTGATTTTAAAATTCAGTTGATGTGTTGAAAAAAATACAGACCAAAATGAAAAATAATTCAAATCAATGAAACACAAATGACTGAATGTTACAACTACATGTCCCACTACTACTGCATTGATATACACGTAAGAATTCAGGGAAAATATCAACGAAGCATTAATAAATGAACTAAGGATTATGTTTTGAAACAATTTCAAAAAACAAAAAATCATAAATTCGCCTGATGGTTCGTTGAAAGCTTTGGATAAGGATTGAAGAAAATGGTGCAAAGTATTCGATTTTCATCTTAAAATTACAGTATTACTTCATACTTACCTCCATATTTGATCTTTTTGAACAATATTTTCGATGCTTAGCCTTTTTAATTATCATTGTTACTACATTATTTCAATATCTTAGGCCACTCATCTCATTGTGATAATATGGCATGACAATTGGGGCCAACGCATATTTGTGCTGGGCCCTACGTTGACGACTTTCGAGAAATTACATTATTACGTCTACGGGAAGAAAGGAAAATATGAGGCGAAGAAAAAAAGAGAAAGTAAGTCACAAAAGTACCAGTTGAGAAAGTTCACTGGTACTAATTAGAGATTACTTTGAACGTAGAGACTATGATAGTCCATCATCATAGGTTCGACTTTTTTCCAGTTGTCAGCTAATCCCAGTCAATCTAACATAAAAACATAGCACACACAATGTCGTCCACTATATTAGTGCCCATATTGCATCTTGATTGAGAGAATCCAATCAGCACTAAACAAATACAATGGCCACTACTTAGTGATCAGTCAACTGCAAAAAAATATTGTCACGTGATCCATACAAAATTCAATACTCCGATTTACTTGCATTGGTTGCTTGAATGTTTATAAGCTGCTGTTGATCAATGTTTTGGTATACGTGCAGGACACTCAACTGACGAGTTCTAAATAGGTTAAAACGCGGGTCCTGCAGATCACAGAGTCTTATTGTGAATGGGTTACGTGTTATTACTACCGCCAACACTGACACCTCTTCGCTACATGATTCAAGTCAACATTCAAGGAAATCACACCATCAGTTTTTCCTATCATTTTCAAATAAATTGAATTAAATATATTTCTGAAGTAGTCAGTAACTATAACTAAACAGGAGAATAATTAGTTAACACTATTACGAAAAATTATGATAACCATCAGTAGCGTAAATAGGTAGATGGTTACTAAGGGAAATATAAAAAAAACGGTAACGAATAACTAAATTGTATGATAATATTCAGTTGTATTATATGTGAGTACACGAGATAATTTACAAATCCCATGACAATGCATTAAGACAAACAATAAGACATGGGACTAATAATTAAGTTTTCAAGAATATTAAGATGTTTCAAGCATGGTGACATCACTAATGAAAAATCAAGTTCCAACAAAAGTTACGATTACAGATGCAAAATTGAATATATATATATATATATATAACAGAGATTTGTTTGTGTGTATTTGAAGGAGAGAGGAGGCTATTAAGTACGGCAGTTAAAATTTTGAAATTTGTAAACAAGCTATCTACTAGATGGGGAAAATTAACCTAGAGCAATTAATTTTTCAAAGTAGTGTTAGAAGAAGAGGCTGTTAACTAATGATAAAAGCATGAGTAAATATACACAAATTCACACACACAAGTGTAATACAAATACAACAAAAGATCAAAACTTGTACAAACCCATCTCTTTCTTATAGACATGAGGAAGGATTCAAAAAGAACTTTACATACATATATAACTCATAGGTGAGGAATAACAAGTCAATGAACTTTAGTACTGAAAGGACAAATAAAAGATGGAGAACATGTGTTAAAATTTAATGAGACAGTAAGCAGTAAGTGCATTCGACAATGTAATTTTAAATACGAAATTGATGACACAAACAAGACAAGATCCAAGCACAATATACACGTCATAATAGTATGCACAACATGTGAAAAGTAATTTTATTTATAAATAGATATACGTATATATGATCAGTTAGACTATGAAGATTTAAAGAAAGAATGACCGTATATGCAGCGCGAGCTTGTAAAAAGAATTCAATTTTCTACAAGACAGCGACCAAAACACCATAAATTTTGGTAAATTTCAAATTAATGGGACTAAATTGTAAATAGAATATATATATTCGACGAATGAAAAGTGTACAATCTGAAAATTAATATAAATATTCGAAAGTGATGATACTTGAAAGTAGTGTTGAATAAAGAAAGAAGACGGTGAAAACATGGGTTGGTGTAAAATAATTTTGCCAGAATTCGTATACACATAAGGATCCAAGAAAAACCACGAAAGAAACTATCAATATACATTATACACACATTTCCTTGTATATAAATATAATTACAACTGGGATATATAGTATCCAGCGAAATCTCACTTCCAAAGGTTGAACACTGTACATGTGTATCAAGTTAGACAAACCATATATATATATATATATATATATATATACCAACGGTAACAAATTGAGATTGAAGAAACAGGCAGACAAACAGAGGGGACTAGTTAAATAACAAAATTTACATTTATATATATATAGATAGATACAAAGAGTGGCTTTCACTACATGAATAAGCACTGAACCAAAAGCTTAAACTAAAGCTAAGAGATAATGCTTTGTTCATATCACAATGAAACTTACATACACAAATTAATTTCAATGTATTCAGCCAAGAGACATTTACAAACAAATAAATAAACGAGGAATGGGGGAATTTCCAAGTTATAATTGTCTATGAAACGATCCGTATGAGAAAACGTATGTCAAAAAGATGTTACGTGCTGATGATGATAGTGAAGAAGTAGAGATGTGCAAGTAGTAGTTCAAAGCGATTGCAAACACGTAATGAATGACAAGAAGCGAGATGTATTGTTGGTGTGGTGTTGTATTTTACAATAAAGACAAGAGAAAGAAAGCTAGTTAGTGTACATTATGTAACGACAGAGTCGAACGACTAGTTGTTGAAGAAAAAAATTCAAAAAATGAGAGAATTATAACGGTCCACAAACGGTATATATATATATATATGAAGAGCCAAAACTAAACTAAGAAATGTATTTGGAATATGGGCAAATAAGAAATTAATAATAAACGGTGCTCCGATTCGCTTATCCCTGTTCGTCGTTACACTGTAGTAGTAGCATAAAGCAACATAGATTATCATAGTTGCAATAGTAATAAACTCTACGTGCGATGATTAGATTTGTCATTTGATGATTTGTGTGTAGTTGTAGTTGTTGTGGTGGTAGTAGAAGAATCGTTTTGTTGTGATGTAGTCATACCATTGCTTTCAGAGTTCGGACCAGCTGATTTGTTGACCGCTGGGGTCCCACCATTATTACTATTGTTGGTGTTATTACAACTGCCATTATTGTTACCACTGCCGTTATTATTACTACTATTATTGGAAGTTTTAGAAACATGATTGGTGGAGGAATTATTTGAAACTGACAAATTAGTATTGTTATTATTACTTGTGTTATTATTATTATTGTTATTATTATTTGCAGATGAGCTTTTCCCAGTACTGTTGTTATTCCCGGCTACATTGTTATATTTTTCTAATTTAGCTATAATATGCTTGCCATAGTTAAATTTGCGTAGGACATTTTGCATAGGACGGATCCGATTAATTAATACACGACGTTGTTCAGTATCAGCTAATTCTAGCATACGTTGAACTACATAATTTGCATATTGGTCTTTCATCATATCAACTAATGATGAAGAGATGTTATTAGTTGTTACTGACGAAGCGTCTCCATTAATATTCACATTAGAGATTGGATGTAAAATTTCTTCAATTAATACAGCTCTTTCAGACGGTACAGCGTTGGCAATTGCTTTCTCCATAACATTCGATGCAAATTTATGAGAACTTAAAGCACATACACGACCACGTAGACTTTGAATAATACGTGATTTATCCTCATTCGAACCATGTTCTAAAACATGCTATAATTAAATGAGCAACAAACAAAAATATACATAGAGATGCTTTATATATATATATATATATATATATATATATATATAATTTAACAACTATGGAGTAGAAATTTGTAACATTCACAGCTTCCTATTCAATATTAGTTGAAATCCGAGATGCTTAATAGTATAATTGGACTATGTCGTTAACGAGGTAATTATGCATCTACTAAAAAGTCTAATAGGCTTTTTTGTTTTATAGGTGTGAAACACTTTAATAGTCTTATTGTTACAGAAGATTTGTCAAACGAAAAAAGGAATAGATTAAATACACGATAAATGGGAGATATAATATAGCTGAAGTGTATAGACAAGATTATATCTTAATTAAGTTCAAAACTTCATGACTTAAGACATTATTCAATGGCATACTTACATACAGTTTTAGCTGCTGCTAACATACACATGAGAGCCGATTACAATGAATGATCTTGTTAATAATTCTATGATTATTTGCAATAATAAAAATTCTACCGTTTTAAAGTCGATGCTACACCATAATTAGTTTATTAGTCATAATCAAACGGGTATTGATCGATTTAATATACTACACCAAAACCACAAAATGTTTTGCAATGACAAGATGCTCGTAAAAACGATTAAGCATTGAGAACATGGTTCGAAAAGACGGAATGAAATGATAGTATATAAGGAATGTTGAAACTTAGTACTTACAGGAGGATAAAGATTAGATGCATTTCCACGTCAATGTAATTGATCTCGGTTATCGAGTGGATCGACATGGCTCAGACCAACAGTGAATAACTTCATGAAATGATCTACATTGTTTTCAGTCGTCACTAGCTTTCTTTGAAGTTACTCCTAATCTAACCAACAAAACAGTTCGATGCAGATAGTTGTTGGGAATCTGTACGACATGGTGTCGGGGTATGAACGAAAGCTACAAAGGGCTGGCTTCTATTGGTTCTTCAAGACTCTCTGGCTGGGGTCCGAGAGATGATGCAACACAGTGGCTAGAGACGTTATCATATATGGCTCAGAATAGAAGCCAGTGGCTATCCTGTTGTAACTTTCTTTTGCGTCCTTCATAAAAAGTGGTTGTATCTTCCTTAACTGAAAGAATTCTTCTGGTTGAACCTTCCCGTTTCTACCATTATTATTATTATTATTGTTACACTACCTTACACTAATCTGGTCGTCATCGTTCTTCTTTTTTTCTTTTACGCTCCTTACCTTCTTTTTTTCTCTTCCCATTCTCATTGTTCTGTGTGGCGCATATATATTTGGTGCCCTCTTGTACCAATATTTATGCGTTAAAATAAATAAATAAACAATAAAAACGCAAATACGACCTCATTCGATGGAGATTCATAATCTAATCAATCGGTTTGCTTTAAATGTTGACTGAGGTAATATTGCTAGTATGAAATAAATAAATCGACAATATTGTATGTACATTTTGATGTTTGTTGTAGGTAGGGAATTGTAAAAGATTGATTTAATCGACACAAAATTAATAAATTATATATGGTTTAACATAGTTACATTATTTAAGTCTTACTTGAATGACGTAATTGCCATACTGATCTTTGACCAAATGTTCCACACCTTTGTGTAGTTCATCAAGAATAGGACGTGTTTGTTCCGGTAGGCAATGTTCCAAAATGCGCTGAATAACTCGACAACCATAGGGATGTGATGAAAGTAAAACCACCTTAACAAGGTTGAACAGAAAAATAATAATCAGGTATATTTTGTTATTTAACGATAGATGTTTTATCCTGAAAATACCGCTTCATCAGTGGCCGAATATGTGGGCAAAGTGAGGGGCATATTCTTAGTGTTCTGAGAAAGTTTTTTAATTAAGATCAACTTGTAGTATTCAGAAATAAGTTAACGAGCGCTTTCTTCTCAAGGTTCTAATATCCTTCAACATAGAACGGCAAGAGGGAATAAAATTTATTATTTATTTAAACACATAAGTATTGGTACAAAGGAGGAATATATGTAGGCAAACCTTTCAGAAAGGAGGTGACAACCCGGGCTATTCTACATGATATTGTAAGGCCAGGCAGATTATATGTTGCCCGAAGGTTGCATGATATGTAAAAGATGGGAGAATGGTAAGAAAAATATTCATCAAGCCAAAATCACCGCCCACATATTTGTGCCTGAGTCAGTTCAGTAATATGTATACCTAAGAGGTGTTAAAATTATGATTCAGCCTATGAGAGATAAAACTTCCTACGCGTCCTTAGTCTTGTTATTCTGAATAGCTGTTTAAATAATTATCAAAAAGTGTGTGCTATGATTGAATCAGAGATTTATTTATGTTAACACATAGATATTGGTACAAGGAGGCACCAAATACATATGCGCCACATAGATCTCATTTGATATGTGTGAAGGCTGTGATACTGCCCGGGTGCCCAAACAGTAGTTGGTTTTCTTAAATGACCACACTCGGAGCCTTCGACCTGAAGGTCTGGTCCATAAGGCAGTGGGGCATCGTAAGGAGATGCAGTCTCATGGTAGCCGGTGACCAACGATTGGTTCATGCGCCATTTGTCTCCTCAGGATACTGGAGCCCATGTGCACCAATGGTTTGGAATCAGGGTTTTCCAACTCCTCTAGGTGGGCTCTGTGTCCACCGACCCGGTTGGATGGGTACGCTTCAGTGATACATCACTCAAACTAGACATTACCATAAATGGAGAAGTGTTATCTAGGTTACATACAGTATTAGACTTAGATATTTCCAAGACTTGTCGTTTACAGAACATATATTAAAACAGACCTCTAAGTCTCAACGTCTAATAGGTTACATAACTCGAAATCTTTACAACAATGAGTCACGTATTCTAATGTACAAAGTTTGTGCTCGTCCTCTTCCAGAATATTGCACGTTTATTCTTAGCAGTGCGCGTATAAAGGATAAATTAAGGCTGGAATCAGTACAGAGGCGATTCACACTTCGTATTCTTAGAGCTGATTGTACCTTAACTTATAATTCTAGATGTAATAAACTTGGGCTAGACCCTTTATGGAGGAGGAGACTAAAACTAAATCTTATCTTTTTCTTCAAACTACTTCATAAACTATCGTTTACATCCAATCACGTGATTCAATATTCAGAAACTTCTCATTATGACATCCGTAATTCCTTGACACTAGTGAAACAAACTCATTCTAAATCATCTCTTTATATGAATTACTCCACCTGTAAATTTTCTAGACTATGGAATAACCTACCACAATCTATCCGCATGATAAAATCACTCCCATTATTTGTTCGTTGCATCCATGCATACTGCTCCTCTGAAAATGCATTGAATGTTCTAGCACCTGGAAGTCTATCTCATTCCAGAAGTGATATTTTAGGAACTTTAAATGTTTAGCCATCTTTATTAGTGCATTCCCAAAAGGAAACCACTTACCTGCTGTCAATATGTTAACACCGTCCCTAGCAAGTTTAACTAATTTGAATAACATCAACAGTATATCACTGTGTCACATGACACACGCATTTTGCTAGACCTGATTCATATATTTTGGTAATTACTGCTTAGTTGTTCCGTGCTCTCTATTTTCCTTTTAATTTCTCTAGTTGTAGATAATTATCATTAATTCGATCTGGCACACGAAATGAACTTAATTACTCCGTTAATAAATCAACAGGCTGTCCATTTAAGAAATAATAAAAATTCCCGGCTGATGCATCGGATCGCTGTAATACATGTACTACCCAAACAATTACTGAACATGTATACTTAAAACGTTCTTCTATCACATGTTTGTTCTGTACATCTAATGTTACTATTTATATCAAATTGATCATGCCTGTAAACTGGCGTGAATTCTGTAATTATTATTTTCAGAATATAAAGTATTATTATTATTATTATTGATACACAAACTAATCCATACATTTTGCATTCGAATACTTAACAAATCAGATGAATATTAAACAGAAATTTATCACTGTAATCAAACACTATTGGTAATGAATAGACGATTATGATTATGAGTTATTATTATTATTATTATTATTATTATTATTAAAACAAAATTAGTTATTATTATTAAATTGCCGGACATTCGCTTTTCGTCCTCTCAATTCCGTAAACACCCCCACCACAAGGAGGCAGTGAGTAGGACATCCCTTGCAGAGGCCATATACGCGTGGCCATGTGAGAGCATTTGGAGACGGAGAGCGTACTCTATCCACTCTCGGCCGTACCAAAGCATTTGGGGGCGAGAAAACCACGAAAGATGACCAATGCAGAAAACAGTTATACGTGGATACGTGGCATACCGTAGGAAGTATTTGATATTTTTAAGGCATGAAAATTTAGTCGGTCTTGTGCATGAACACGTGATCATGATCACTCCGGGACACGAACCCAGTACCATACCATTCGCTTCAGTGTGAAGATTCAAACAACCAATACAAAAGTGAATAAACTTCACAACATTTCGGTCAGTCAGCTACAAATTAGAACCACGCACACATATGCATCGACACAAGTTGCCATACCTCATTAACACAACAAGATGAACACCGGATTCATAGCAGTGATTAGGTCAAAGGTAGTAATATGTAAGAGAAAGATTGCATATAAGCATATAGTACAGGAAGAAAGAATTAATTCGTAGAAAGAAAGATATGAAGCGATTTTAATCTCTCAGTTTAAGGGAAGACAAAGAGGGTATACACCAACGCCATTGTGATCTATTCTCAGCCACGTCATCAAGTCTCCAACCATTGGTTACGATAGTCACGCGGACCCCAACCAAGTAGTCTGCATCTACCAACATGGCTCAGACTAGAAGTTAGTGACTTCAAGCACTGATGCCACGTTTTGGTTTGGCCACCCCTAACTTTCTTCCAACCATTTCCAACGCCGGTTAGCATTGCACGTCATGGTAATAGGTGTTCAGGCATACGTAACACGTGGCCCAACCATCTTAATCGATAAAGATTTACAACCTCACCAACTGATTTACCATCATTCCCTAATACCCTGAGTCTAACCTCACTATTACTCACCCGGTGATCCCAGCAGACGCCAGCAATATTTCTAAGGCATCTGTGCTCAAATACTAGTAGCTTACGAGTGTCTTCTACTCTTAATGGCCATGTTTCGCTGTCGCAAATTAAAACAGAACGGACTGCCGCGCAGTATACTCGTCCTTTTATTGATAGACAGATATCTCGCCTTTGCCATAGGTGACGTATGGTGGCAAAAGCCAAACGAGCTTTTCGAATGCGTGATGAGATTTCGTAAGACACCAACACATTAATGCTGATCAGACTTCCAAGATAAGTGAAGTTGTAACGACGGACCACCGGTGAACTCGAGGAAGCTCTAAGAGGCTCAGGTGTTGACGCAGACCAGTCCTGAAGCAACAACTTGCATTTAGAGGGAGAGAAGCGCATTCCAAACATCCTGGTATTGTTGTTCAGTGCTACCAGAAGACTCTGCATTTTGTCAGCGTCTTCACCAAACAGGACTATGTCATCTGCGTATTCTAAGTCGATAAGTGGACCTCCTGGAAGGAGATCAATACCCGAGAATCCAGTCGACGAGAATGTTGTTTTCAGCGGCAGCTCTATGATGAAGTTGAACAAAAATGGTGATAGTGGACAACCTTGACGGAAACCACTTGAGGTTGCAAAAGCAGATGACAGTTCGTCATAAGCACTGACTCGACTGGTAGTGTTCGAGTAAAGAGCCTTCACAAGGTTTATGTACTTCTAAGGTACATCTTTCAATGACAGACACTGACACAGAATCTCGCGGTCTACAGAGTCAAATGCTGCTTCCAATTAAAAAAACTAACATTGTCGGACGCTGATGAGCATGCCTGTGGTCTAAAACCTGATGAATGGTGAATATGTGATCAATACAGCCACGATCAGGTCTGAAGCCAGCCTGATTTTCTCGTGTTCGCAGTTCACGAGTCTTAGTTAGGCGTCCGATAATTATTGAGGCTAGTATTTTAGATGCTATATTAGTCAAACGAATCCCTCTATGGTTGTCACAGGATGATTTTGACCCCTTTTTAAATATTGGGATAATCAGTGGTTGCAACCAGTCAGATAGGATTATGTCAAACTCCCAGATTGGATAGCCATCCTTAAAGACCTCTGGATCGAATCCACCTGGACCAGCTGCCCTTCCTCGTTTCAGATTAGCTATAGCATTTTGAACTTCAGCTAAAGTTGTGGGACCTACTTCAATGTTCCATTCACACTACCTGGGAATGGAGGGTAGTTGTAGAGTAGCTAGATGCCAGCTGAACTGTCTTCTAAAATGTTCCGCCCATCGTTCTAAACGTCTGGACTGGGAGCAGATGAGAGTGTCGCCTTTTTTCCGAAATAGTCTGACTTACACCTGACTTATTAATTCCAGTTTCTTTTATTAGTCTGTAAAGCTGTCTTGTGTTCCCTATAGCCGCCGCCTTTTTCATCTCTTTTGCTTTTGTTGCCGACCACTGCTCACGGTCGTTTCTTAGACTTTTGCTTAACCTAGAACTCAGTGTTTACAAGTGACTTAAAGATATTTTTGAACTTCTATTATTATGTTCGTCATAGACATTTATTTTTTATTCGAACACATGAATATTGGTACAAGAGAGCGCCAATATATATGCGCCACACAAAACAATGAAAATTCGAAGAGAAGTAGAAAAAAAACTAAGGAGCGTAAAAGAAAAAGAGAAGGACCGACAGAAGCCAGTCCTTTGCAGCTTTCTTTCATACCACGACACCATGTCATGCACTGACCACCTCTCCGCTTCTTTCAACCTGTCCCAGAGTCGGCAAATAATGCACGACGTGGAATTCTCTGGGACGACATTCGGAGAACATGTCCAAGCCACCGAAGTCGGTGTTTCACGATGGTGACACCAATTGAATTATCATCTTTGTGCCCGAACACACGATGCCGAACCTCTGCATTACTGACATGGTGTTGCCACTGAATGTCAGCAATCCTTCGGAGACAGCGATGATCGAACACAGAGAGTCGTCTAACGTCCTCAACTCGGAGAGACCAGGTTTCACAAGCATAGAGCAGAACTGCTCTCACCGACGCGTTGTAGATCCGGCCTTTTACAGCCAGACTAACATCACGAAGGCGCCAAAGGTGGCCAAGATTGACATAAGCCGCTCTGGCTTTCACTATTCGTGCATTGATCTCATCACTCACGTCACCATCAGCACTTATGCAGCTACCCAGATACACGAACTTCTCGACTAGGTCTATCTGCTCACCATCCAGGGTGAGTACAGGATTAGAATCCTGCCAGTCTTGTAGAAGTACTTTGCACTTCGAAGGTGCAAAGCACATACCATACCTACGGACACTGATTGCCAACTGATTAAGTGCGGATTGCATGCCTTGGGCATTATCGCACAGTAAGACAATATCGTCCGCATACTCAAGGTCGAGAAGTCTTTCTCCAGGCAACAGATCCACACTGCCATTACTTACATCCATCAGAGCTGTTTCCAGAATGTCATCGATAGCAAAGTTGAAGAGGAATGGTGAGATTGGGCAACCCTGCCTAACCCCACTGCTCGAATGGAACAATGGAGAGAGGTGGTTGTATGCCCTCACTCTGCCTGAGGTGTTTTTATATAGGGCTTTTAGGATGTTAATAAACTTCTCAGGCACACCTTTCTTCAATAGACAATCCCAAAGAACAGTCTTGTCCAACGAATCGAAGGCAGCCCTGATGTCAAGAACACTACGATTGTTGGCCTTTGATAAGTATGGAGGTGTTCTAACATTTGGCGGAGGGTGAAGATATGATCAATACATCCTCGACCGGAACGAAACCCAGCCATAAACAACGTAGGACCTGCCATAAATCTAAATTAGTTCAATGTGTCACACTATAACAGCATAGTGAATATGAAATGGAGAAAGCAAAATGGTCAACACCCTTTACTACTTCAATCATTAACGTTATATTACGAGTTGAACCCAATCAGTTCTGAAGCAACATAATGGATTTGAAGAATGAGAAACAAACCTCAAACATTTTGAAATGGATTTAAACGAATATAAACCAGGTAGTCATCAAGGCAAGAAATATACCAAAAATAACTTTTTCGGTATTGTAAAACGGATGAGAAACGAGAAATACTGAAGGGGAAACATACTTGGCCACGAAAAGCTGAAATAATAAAATCAAGTTCTGAAGGTGGAACACATTCAATGCATTTTTGAATAACGTGATTCCCGTTTTGATCTTTTACACACCGTGTTACAAATGGTCTCAGTTCACCAACTATGTGTATTTTTGCCTCGGCTGGTACAGATTCTAATGCTTTTTGTATAACACGACAACCATACATTTGAGTAGCAAACTCAACAACGTGACCTTGTAAACGTTGCGAGAGAAGCTAAAATAAGAAAGAGTTATGATTGGGAAGCTAACACTGACAAAAAATACATTATTGATCACACTGAATTATATTTACGCTCCAATAAAAATAACTCTCCTCTAGGTGTTCCCTGGTATATATACGTATGAAGATCAATGTTCTAATCGGTAACCAAGTACAAGTTTATACGTTCGCCAACGAGATCACAAGTTATATGGTTTTGTTATTAAGTGTTAGTCTTATTTTTCTTAAAGGATAGCCTCGACAATATTTTTAAAAATTTATATTCTCGTAAAGACCTTTGAGGCTATCTGATTGGCGGTTGTTACTTTTAGTTTGTTAATTTGGTTCAGTCCCAAGGTCGTTGTGTGTTACTATATAAACAGAGTTGTTCTATTTCAACTTTCGACTTCTACCTAGAGCATGAAACTGTCCTGAAAGTCCGTTCTTCTGTATCGACACTTGGAGTGTGAATTATTAAAACCGCAGTGTTGTCGTGTGTCAGACACCCGGTATATTTATCGAGTTTCCATTAGTTTGATCTGTATTCAAGATTCACCATTATTCATAATAAGATTTCAGCAGGATAAAATCATGACGGAATTACGAAACTTAATAACACTCGTTTTCGTGCCATACATTATTTTTATATCCATTCATGCAATGCATATGTCTAAACTGTAGGAGTAAGTTAAACACTATTTAAGCCTATGGAAAAAACAGTCACTGAAAATCAAATGTTCTTGATCACTAAATTATAGTTGTGTGGAAAGAACTACAATTGTTATTTGATTATAGGATAAAGATAAAGCAAGAACAATAAACGGAGAAGTTGATTGCGACTTATCAACTGCTCGGAAAAAAGGGTTGTAAGTACTCAATATTATAAAACTTACAGAAAACTGTTGATTTAGCTCAGAGACACCATAAAGGTAGATTGATAAAGGGCAAAAAATTTGAAATAATTCAGATAATCCATTTTCATGATTGATTACTTATAGAAAAAGTACGCGAAAAATAGGAGGAAACAGAGGAATATGAAGGCGAGACGATACTAGAACTAACCATTGATGTAATTCAAACTAGAAAAATCTATAGTCTAGGCTGACTGGATAAAATGAGCACAGCTTGAATAAAAATACACATGAAAGGGGATTTTTAAATAGATCTTATTAAGTGAATCAAGAAATAGTGGATGTGTTAGTAAAAAAATTATGATTGATGCAGACAACAAATAAAATTAGCATTTTATCAAATTACTGACAAAATGTTTGGTGGAACAATGGAACGTAATATTTAACTTCTGAGTAATGAAAGAATAATAATAAAATAAATCTCACTTCTTTTTGCTCTTTTGTTCCGAATTCGAAAAACTTTTGTATCACATAGTTGCCAAATACATCAGTCATTAGTTTGCCAGAATGTGGTAGTATTTCATTAAAGACTGAATTTTTTTCAGTGGTAGTAGCGGTCTCTAATTTCTGTTGTATAAATCGAGATCCATGTTGATCACGGGCGAATTCGACCATATGATCACGTAACTCTGACAGATGCATGTGTTGGAATCGTGCACTTGAATTTCGAAAATCCTCCAAAAGTTGACTTCGGCTAGACACAGTGGTAACAACGAGTGGAGTAGATGTAGTAATGTTCACACCTAAAAGTAATATAAATATAAGTCTTGAATGAAACCAAATAGATGTTTAGCATTTTAGTACACAATAATTAACACTGATAAGCAATAAAATTTAGTAAATAAGTATAAAGTTGTTATATGCCTCTTTGATCAAACTTACCAACAACCGAACTAGGCCTTGAAGAAGCAGTACCAGATAAAGTCAAAGGAAGTGGTGAAAGTAAAGGGGCTGGAAGTCGCTGGTTGATATTTTGGTGTGATTGAAGAGCAGCAGCATAATTTGGACTTTGTTGAACAGTTTGAGAATGTACGGCAGATAATAGACCAGGACTACGACCAGTAACTACAGGCATAAGGGGTGGTGGAACTGGAGCTCTAGTTCCTAAGAGGGCCGGATGGTTCACTCCAGTAGGTCGAAGATTAGGGTTGGGACCCATGCCAGGCGGTGGGGTAGCAGTAACAGCCACACCCGATGCAGCAGCAAAGGCGGCAGCAAAAGCACGATTTTTATGCATCGATGCTATAAAATAAATTATCAACATTCAGCATTAGCTAGCTAATGGAAAAAGTTTTCATTAAAGCGCGGTTTAAGATGCTACAAATTTTCGTTGAATTGACCTAGGTTTAAGCCACATTTATGCAATTTGCGAAAGACGTGTAGGTAAGTGTACTCAGCTAACAACTATGTCCAATTTACAAGAACTAGTGATACTCCGTTATTTAAGCTGACGTATGTAAAAAAGTTTGGACAGATACAAAACAAAATCACTTCTGGTTTGTATAAATTTTAGTTAATCAATCAGTCAAAATCAACACAGATTACGGCACAAATGTGTGTTAACCCAAAAATGCATCTCATTGCAATGTATGTCAACGAAATATAATCCTTTGTATTTGAACAAAAAAGTCAAATAATGAAAAATCAACACATTTGAGAAAAACACGTCGTTAAAAACCAAGGTGTAAATCTCAACCGTTTTCCATGAAATAATTATATAAAAGTATACAGCATATTGTAGTAATGCAATTCAGTTTGATTTGGGCGCCCGGGTTGTATTTCAGCCCTCACACAAATCGAATGACAAAGTGTGGCGCATATATATTTGGTGCCTCCTCGTACCAATGTTTATGTGTTTAAATAAACAGTCAGTTCATTATGAAAAACGTAGAATCTGGCACAAATGAACATGAGTCTAAGTTGCAAAACCGTAACATAGTCAGATAAAATTCCCAAGATATATTAGAGTAATCGAAGTAGTAACAGTGTTAATGGTAGTACAGGACATGACTCGAGTAGAAAAAATAAATTTGTGGGATTAAAGGTATAGAATACTGTCTAAACTTTGGGTTTAAAGGGAAACAAAGATTAGCCTATAGCTAAAAAATGGCCAGCATCATGGTCAATGACCATATCTACTGACGCCACGTCTCGGTTTGGCCGCCTCTAGATTCCTTCCAACCTCATTCAACGTAGACATTGATTGAGAATAGGTAGACTTTCATATACATAAAAAATAAAGGTGATGGAGTCCATTAGTGTTATTGTACATTATAATTAACGACCTCCATACTGCAAGTCAGCGTTATTTCACTACGAGTGATCAAAATTGTGATAATGAAAGAATTAAAAAGTAGTACAAGTATAAACAACTAAAAGTGCAAACCATCGAAATAAGTTAATTTACCATCGAAATTGAATGGATATGGTGTGGCTGATGAAAATCCGGTTGAAACAGATAAAGGAGGTCTTTGAAGTCCTGATGGTGATGTTGGAGAAATATGCATGCTAACAGCTAAAGCTCCAGGAGGTTGCGAAATAGGCATACGACTGTAACTAGATACATCTCCAGACACCGAGTTGGGACTACCACTTGCTTCCGGGTGTAGAAGACCAACTGGTGGTAATAGGTTTATTCCCTAAAAGAGAAAAAAATAAAACTATGACATATACACACACAGATACTAAGTACCGAATGATTAATAGAAAAAGAGCTTTAATTTTCACCAAAACAATTATTACAACAACAAACAATGCTCACATTAGGTATCGAAAAGTTGCCTGGGTTTAATCCAGCAACAACCGAACCGGAAGAATACAGGCCTCCAAAATAATTAGATGAATTTGTGACAACACTAGATGTGAACGGAGCAACTAGGGGTGTCGACGAAGTGACAGTTGGAGCAATACAATTTGAAGAATTATTTGATACAACGCTACCACCACTCAGAGCGGTACTATGTCGTTGTTGTTGTTGTGCAGCATTCATTAACTGTTGTTGAGCTTGGAAAAAAGCAAAAGCTCCAGCGGCAAGACGTGATTGATCTACGATATTATTACCATTTGCGGATGGTGTAATATTATCAATAACTGCATTCGAAGCTGATGATACAACGCAGCCTGGATTGTTTGCCATACCATTAGCTAATTGTTGCATGATCATGAATGCAACATGATTCCACTGTGGTGCTGAAACAAACAACCAGAAATACTCTTCAAATTAAAAGTCTGTGCTAGTGACAAAAATTGAAATATTAAACTGATTCGACATGAAAAAAAGCAAGTGACTGCAGATAACATTTTGATAGGTGAACACCACAGAGCAATTGCGAGCATGGTATTAGGTTCTTAACTTATAGATTCAATTCAGAACACTCATTTACTAATAACTAAATAATAAGGATTCAGTGATTACGAATTCATACTTTTTTCAAGAAAAGCTAGTGACTGTGATATGAAAGTAGTGCGCTTTATGACTAAAACCTCTGCAAACAATTTTATATTAGTTTAAACTAAGCCTTGGTAAAAAGAAATAAGTATCTTGAGAGAGCTATAAGGTGATGCAGAAAGTTAACGTTTCGGTCAGTTCAGCTTAAATTTCCCTTTTGAAAGTACTAGCATTTGTGAAAACAATTACTGTTTAATTACCTTATATTTTGCTGAAATTTATTAGATTTTTGACTATTTCTATTTCCATTTCGTACGCAGGATGGTAACACTTTTGGAGTAATATTTTTGGTATGTTATCTCATTTCATCTTCACCACATTGGCCAGACGCTTATTAAGTAGTTCGTAATAACGAGTGATGCGTTAGCTGGTGCTATTCAGTATTAAAAGTAAAGATTTGTATGCTGGAGAACATGGACCTTGCAACTACGTATTTTGTGTAATGCCTAGCGACAAACTATTTGCTTTCTCAAATTGAATTAAGTAGAACATGACAAGCAAAAGAGATTTACGACCCAGTGTTTGTATTCGAAGCATTCACTTCAATAATATATCATCATCTATGATTATACTACTTTTGTAGCCCACTTGGAAGTAACTTTAGTGCAGGACTCCTTCTAAGTAGTTCTCAAACATAATGCAGTACATTCTTTCGACTGGTAAACATGTACTAAATGTTATTTTACTCACTAATTCTGTGAACAGTTTGGGGTCACTGTTATACAGTTCATCTGTACAACTTAAAATATGTTGTCACTGGGATATACGGAGTAAATTATTGTTAATGACACCACAGACTTTATCATAATTTCAGTTTAGAAAACATAATAATTTTTTCTTAATGGGTTTTGTGCATCATAATATTGTATTACTGTATTAATGAATCATTATTTAAAAATTCTTCAACTGATAACAATCAAGGTAGGTAATTTTGTCACAAACTGCCTTCAGCTGATGAACGAAGTTGAAAATTAGGAATTACTATATAGTACTTTTTGTCATAAATTATGACTTATCAGTTGTGCGTACCTTACAAATGGACTGAATTTCGATCTAAGTAAAATAAGCTATCTTGTGGATTTTAATTTTTACAACAGAAGTCAATGTATGATGAACACCATCAATAGAATGAATAACCTGCAGAAATCTGACCTCAGTATAAAAAATAACTAATTTAAATTAGGCGACACTATACAACAGTCACGGGAAGTAGAGATTGCAATGTAAGAAGCAAACAGTAAAAAGTAACAAAGTCAAACCTTGTGAAAGTGGTGGAGGAATTTGACTATTATTATTGTTATTATTATTATTAGCTGCACCTCCTTGTGACATAAAAAGTGTCATAGCCATAGCCATTGATTGCGGGTCCATCATATTTAGTTGAGATGTGGGCGGCATATTATAACCAAATGGAAAATTATTGTTTACAACACTGGATTCACAAAGTGGATTTCCTTCGAAATTTCCTGGTGGTAACTGAGAAACTGAAGATGTGGCTGATACGGCCGCAACTGAGGATAAAGTTGGTGTAGTACAATTACTCGATGAAGGTGAACTAACAGCACATAAGCCAGGTGGCGGCAAAATACCTGGATATTTTGTATAAATATCATTCATAATGTGAGCCTCACTTAGCTGTAGTAAATGAATAAAAATCAATAACTGAGTTATTGGGTGTAAATCAAACACAATTATTCTAGAATTAATACGAGATTCTCCTGTAAACAAGTGAGTAATAAATTTTGAACAATCACAGTGAGTGCAAGGTGAGTCAGTCGTACGCAAAGTGAAACCGGACATATGTATGTGTACAACTGTTTAGCTTGTCACACCTCATCAGTACAGTTAAATGAAATTGTCAGGACGAATACCACAGTAGTACACGTAGTGACAATATTCCTTCTCACAGAAGATATCACACACCAATTATTTTACTAAACAATTATATAAGATCATTTGGAAACTTACCATTTAAGGGAAGACAAAGAGTGAGTACACTTCAGCCACTCACAACGATTCTCAACAATCTCATTCAAACTCTTCTAATCATTACTCACGACAGTCAGCCAGTTACTAGTTAGGTAGTCTTCACCTATATACATGGTTCACTCCAACGGTCATTGCCTTCATTCACTGATGTCAGCTCTTGGTTTCTCCACACAACCCTACTTTCCTTCCAAATTACTCCTATATCAACCTTCTTCGGCTGTTGAAGTAGTCACTGGTGAACACATATCACACATCTCCTAAACATCTCAGTCGATAAACGTTCATTATCTCGTCAATCAGCTTACCATTCTTATCTATTTCACTTAATCTAACCTCAGAATTAACCACTCCATGGTCCCAACATATACGGGCAACACTTCGAAGGTATCCATGATCAAATACTAGTAACATATAAATAACCTATGTTCTTAAAGACCGCGTTTTACTATTATAAAATAGAACGGAGAGAAATGTTGTGTAGTTTGCGTGCTATTAGGTTGCTATACAGATATATCGCTTACGCTACAGGTGACGCAAGTTGGCGAATGTCAATCAGGCTTTCTGGACTCGATCTGACCAGACTTACAAAGTAAGTCTCAACCACTTCATTCTCTATCGTTAGTTCAGGAGTTAACGTAAATCAGTCCTGAAACAATGTTTGCATTTAAAAAGGGATGAAAGTAATCTTTTGATTTTGTTAGTGTTTTAATCAAATAAGAATATATCATCTGCGTATCCTTAATCAACGAATCTCCTGTTGAAGGATAGATTTCTGATAAGTCAGACAGTGAGGTTATTTGCAAAGGAATGTCTACGAAAAAGTTAAATGAAAATGGGAAAAGCTGACAACCCTGACGAGTGAAATATGAATACAGAAATCAAGCACTTATGTGTTTGACACTTAGTAAATGATTTTCAGGCTGATGTATGTCTATTGAGAAAACAATCATTTCGTCACAATCTCTATAGAGCTCGAGTCATTTGCTTCAAAACAATTGTTTCACAGATGTATTATACATGGCAAACACAACACTTCCTAAATCTAATAAATTCGATCGACACAAACGCAATAGTATAATAACAATAATAAACGGCGCCATGAAGTCCACAACTTATAGCTGAGTGCATTAGACTATTAGGAACTAAACATTGCACATTGTTAAGTAAAAATACCAAAGATTAATAACTAATAATAAGACAACCATAAAAATACTTCAAATGCATCTTTGAATGTTAACTAACAGTGACCTAATTGTTTTAGTAGCTGTTTGATGTGTGAAACCAGCATTCCAAATCTAGCTAATTTAAGTGTAAAGGAAGTGGTTATTAAAAACAGAAGGGATTGGTGAGTATAAGACATGAATACCTGAAAGGGTGGTCCGAAAGCAGAACCTTGACCACCGACAAAGGAAACAGGAATTTGAAGAGGTGTTGATGATGCTGGCAAAGTACTGATGTTTGCTGAAGGTGTGATAAGTCCTGAACACTCAGACTCAGCTGACTGACCGAAAAGAAACAGTGGAGGAATAGCAAGCAATGAATTTGGCATGGCTGTACTTGAAGGTAATGGGAATAGATTTGACGTAATGGTATCGGAGATGGAATTCAAATCAGAATTGGACACTGATGAGCCACGAAAAGCAGTTGAACGAGAATTGATCAAAGTAGAATTAGATTGTGCAAACAATGATGCATTTGATCTAGGCATTGTAACGTCATTAAATGCATCAGACTGATCTTGAAGAACTCGATGTGAATGTTGTAAGGTGTCGATGTCATTCGATTCCGAAACAAGGCCCATTGCAGACCCAAAAAGAATGGCAGGTTGTGTGCTCAGAGGCGAAGATGCTGAAATTGACATAGATGATGTGACGTTGTGTATAGATGATGACCACAGAGCTGAAGGTGCATGAGCTCCAAACTCTGGTGCATTTGAATGGTTTATACCATCAGTTTCTGAGTTGTTATACGGTAAGTTAGTCGGTTCAGTGTCCTTACATTCGGGAAACAAATCACGCCATGAAGTTGTATTCTATAACAAAAAGCAACAATGGGAATTCATCTTTATTCGATATTTGTGGAAAAATGTCATTTCTTTTTATTAACACACCTAATTATATAACCAATAAATTATCTAAATCAGTTGTCACTTCTATAACAATTAAACGACAGACAAGATTCCAGCTTTTTTAATAGACCGGATGCTAGAGTAATCATTGTAATAAATTTTGCCAGTTATAACACTTTTGACGCTTTAATTGACACGGAACATAATTATAATATTTGTGTAACAGAGAAAAATTGAATATAGGCATGGTTAGAGACGTAACTCATTTATCAAGTACAGATTTGTATATTCAGCTTTTAGCCACACATGTTAGTGATAGTCAGTCAGTAACAACGTAGAACTTCGTACGTACGTACATCAGTTCGAGTTGAGTGATAGTGAAACAAGACTGTCCAAACCAAAATAGGTGAAGTGTGACCCGAAGTTGTGATCTAATCGAACACCTTAACCACCAAGCCGCCGGCTCAGCTAAGATTACTATTCTAATGAAAGTGAAGGTCAGGACGAACAGTGGAGTGGAGAACACAACCTAAGTAAATTCAGAAACAAAACCGATCATTTTAGTCTGCGTTACTCTTAGTAGATTTTAGATTAGGTTAGAAGTGCTTTGCACTGTAGCATATATACCTCAGCTCTCTTAAAAAATATTCTGTTCTTCCAAGTTACATATACTTAGGGTCTGGACCAGACGTATATTACGCACGCTACTGCTATTTGTTTCTCACAATCACAACGATTTGATACCCAAAACACTTTTTGATTCACATTTTCCTGAATTGATTTATTTTTGAACATATAGATGAAGAACTAGTATTACATAAATAATCACTAAGAACGAACTAAATTAATTATTGTAAGCGTGATTATGTATCAAAAACTTAATGGACTGTAGTCATGGATTGAAAAGAAGACACTTAGTCACGTCTATCCGTTTTTTAAAATTCTCCAGAAGACCATTAACAGTGATTAATTAGTATTTACATAAGGTACAGAAAAAAACATAATATTTACCTACAAATAGATTATATACATAAAACTTTTAAAATAGACTACTAACCGCTAGACCACAAGCTGTATCCCAATTCCATGGAAGCACTTCATTTTCGGCTCCATTATCAATTCCTAAACCTAAATGGTTATGATTATCGTGTTCTTCCTGACAATTATTTCTGCTGGCGGCGCAATTTCCTACGGTTGTATTTGCTGTAACTGGGTCCTGTGAAGGATCAGGTAACCAAACGTGATGCGAATTGTTTTGGCGAGGTTCCCAGATGGATAACAAATCAAATGGTGCCATGTTAGCGTTTTCTTGAGGGTGTTGGTTCTCTAACCTACCAGGGACGGCTGTCCCATTGGAAGCAGTGAGGTGTCCAAGCTGTCCGGGTAGAGGAGTTATGTCCCCAGTGACACCACTACCCGCAAACGAATGAGCCTCTCCACTAGCTGCGCTATTGTAATTTACTCCGTTGGCACTGAAATTGCCTGAACCAACACTACAATGTGAGTCTCCGAAACAAGAAAGCAGCCCAGAACTGCAATTGCTTCCCCCAGCAGTATCACTTCCAGGTGTTGTACTTATTCGACGCTCTGCACCAACAGCCCAGATCTGATTAGCCCGAGAAGAACCGATTATGGATAGATTATGAAAGTGATGGGGTAAATCAGAGCTACAATCATCAATGTTCTCCTTTGTTTGCATATCTAAGCATACACCTGTAGAGTTAGCACAGTTGGCAGCTATATCAAGTGCATCATCATCAGTTAGACAGAGTGTATCAGGAAGCTGAGGAGCGCCATCTTGAAAAACAGACAGATTGAGATCAGGCTAGAAAAAAGTTAAAATTAAGGAAAAAAGGGAATGAAAAATTAATATTTGATCGCAGGAGCAGCAAATATGACATTGTACATGAACTGATGTCACATTTGACTTTTGGAAGTGTATAAATGTCCACTTTCAAATGGACAGACAGTATCTTAAAGGTTAAGTTTGATTTAGAGAGTGCTGAGCCTGTGAAATCCTTAAATTGAGGATTGACTAGATGTGCTTGACTAAAATTAGTTGTAGGACACAAAAGTGAAGTACCATAGTCTAAAGGAAACTGATCAGTGACAGTCGCCATGACCGAATGGTAAATAGTGAAAATTTAATACTTTAAAAAGCAGAATGATAACAATATAGTCTCTTATGCTCAAATCGAAAGATGTTATCGAGAAAATGATACGTGATAATTAAGTTTCTGCAGTTATTCATCAACTACAAACAGTCAAGCACAATTAGGAGTCAGTCAGTCAGCTGCGACATAGAACCATGCACATATATGCATCGACACAAGTTGCCATACCTCATTAACACAACAAGATGAACACCGGATTCATAGCAGTGATTAGGTCAAAGGTAGTAATATGTAAGAGAAAGATTGCATATAAGCATATAGTACAGGAAGAAAGAATTGGTTCGTAGAAAGAAAAATATGAAGCGATTTTAATCTCTCAGTTTAAGGGAAGACAAAGAGGGTATACACCAACGCCATTGTGATCTATTCTCAGCCACGTCACCAAGTCTCCAACCATTGGTTACGATAGTCACGCGGACCCCAACCAAGTAGTCTGCATCTACCAACATGGCTCAGACTAGAAGTTAGTGACTTCAAGCACTGATGCCATGTTTTGGTTTGGCCACCCCTAACTTTCTTCCAACCATTTCCAACGCCGGTTAGCATTGCACGTCATGGTAATAGGTGTTCAGGCATACGTAACACGTGGCCCAACCATCTTAGTCGATAAAGATTTACAACCTCACCAACTGATTTACCATCATTCCCTAATACCCTGAGTCTAACCTCACTATTACTCACCCGGTGATCCCAGCAGACGCCAGCAATATTTCTAAGGCATCTGTGCTCAAATACTAGTAGCTTACGAGTGTCTTCTACTCTTAATGGCCATGTTTCGCTGTCGCAAATTAAAACAGAACGGACTGCCGCGCAGTATACTCGTCCTTTTATTGATAGACAGATATCTCGCCTTTGCCATAGGTGACGTATGGTGGCAAAAGCCAAACGAGCTTTTCGAATGCGTGATGAGATTTCGTAAGACACCAACACATTAATGCTGATCAGACTTCCAAGATAAGTGAAGTTGTAACGACGGACCACCGGTGAACTCGAGGAAGCTCTAAGAGGCTCAGGTGTTGACGCAGACCAGTCCTGAAGCAACAACTTGCATTTAGAGGGAGAGAAGCGCATTCCAAACATCCTGGTATTGTTGTTCAGTGCTACCAGAAGACTCTGCATTTTGTCAGCGTCTTCACCAAACAGGACTATGTCATCTGCGTATTCTAAGTCGATAAGTGGACCTCCTGGAAGGAGATCAATACCCGAGAATCCAGTCGACGAGAATGTTGTTTTCAGCGGCAGCTCTATGATGAAGTTGAACAAAAATGGTGATAGTGGACAACCTTGACGGAAACCACTTGAGGTTGCAAAAGCAGATGACAGTTCGTCATAAGCACTGACTCGACTGGTAGTGTTCGAGTAAAGAGCCTTCACAAGGTTTATGTACTTCTAAGGTACATCTTTCAATGACAGACACTGACACAGAATCTCGCGGTCTACAGAGTCAAATGCTGCTTCCAATTAAAAAAACTAACATTGTCGGACGCTGATGAGCATGCCTGTGGTCTAAAACCTGATGAATGGTGAATATGTGATCAATACAGCCACGATCAGGTCTGAAGCCAGCCTGATTTTCTCGTGTTCGCAGTTCACGAGTCTTAGTTAGGCGTCCGATAATTATTGAGGCTAGTATTTTAGATGCTATATTAGTCAAACGAATCCCTCTATGGTTGTCACAGGATGATTTTGACCCCTTTTTAAATATTGGGATAATCAGTGGTTGCAACCAGTCAGATAGGATTATGTCAAACTCCCAGATTGGATAGCCATCCTTAAAGACCTCTGGATCGAATCCACCTGGACCAGCTGCCCTTCCTCGTTTCAGATTAGCTATAGCATTTTGAACTTCAGCTAAAGTTGTGGGACCTACTTCAATGTTCCATTCACACTACCTGGGAATGGAGGGTAGTTGTAGAGTAGCTAGATGCCAGCTGAACTGTCTTCTAAAATGTTCCGCCCATCGTTCTAAACGTCTGGACTGGGAGCAGATGAGAGTGTCGCCTTTTTTCCGAAATAGTCTGACTTACACCTGACTTATTAATTCCAGTTTCTTTTATTAGTCTGTAAAGCTGTCTTGTGTTCCCTATAGCCGCCGCCTTTTTCATCTCTTTTGCTTTTGTTGCCGACCACTGCTCACGGTCGTTTCTTAGACTTTTGATTATCCTAGATCTGATTTTTTTCGTTCTTCATCGTGTTCAGAGCCTGACGGGATGAGTTTACGAGAATCTATCAGTGCAGTAGACTTAGTAGAAATCCACTGGTTTTCGTGGCCCTTTAAATCAATAATAGTAATAATTTTCATAACTGTTCGTATATCTTTCCAAGTAACATCTGGGTCAGCCTCGTTTTCAGAAATATCTAAGTATGACCTCGATTGTTTCTGGAATCTACTTTTGGCTTTGTCGTCAATGAGTTCAATTCTAATGGGTCTCAGCATTCAGTGAGGTGCAAGCAAATGCGTGCTTATATTAGAGCATGACTAGAGTCTAAACATATACTCCAGAGCGAGCGGCAGTCTTCTATCGGGCCTCTCCAACGATAACTGATGGCAATATGGTCTATTTGAGTCCATCGTTGGTTTGGTGTAGGGGGTTGCCATGTTAGACGATGTCTCTGTTTACGCTTAAAATTAGTGCTTGGTAAGAATAAACGATTGTATGAGCACAATTGCAGCAGACGGTCACCATTATCTGTTCGCTGAGCCGGAATACCAAAATACCCACCTAGATGTCTTTCTGTTTAGTTTAAGCTACCTACTTGTGCATTAAAGTCACCTGCCATGAGTAGTATATCTGAGCGTTTAGCTTTTTAAAGAAGCTCAGAAAGCTTTCTGTAAAATTCATCTCTCACTTCATCCGGGATGTGGTCAGTGGAAGCGTAGGTAGAAAGGACGAAAAGGCAACGATGTGTGTCCCCATCCTTTCGAGTTCTTACGGGGCCGTTTAGTCGAACAGCACATAGACGACTGTTAACGGGGATCCACTCTAATAGTGCTTTTTCTGTCCCTGTACTTAGTGCTATGAGTACACCTGCCAGTCCACGAGAACTAGTCGTCGGGTCGCCAGATACACAGAGGGTGTATCTCGTCGGCTCTCCGTATTGCCGAGGTGAGGTCAAGTGAATGACCACACTAGGATCCTGTATGCGTGTTTCAGAGACACATCAGACATCAATGGTACGAGATTCTAGGGTTTTAGCCAAAGATTTGGCATAGGGTGCGTACCTTGAAGGCTCTAATGTGCAGTTTGGAGCGAGGGTTCAGTAGACCTGGGACAGTATTTCGCGCACTAGAATCGTTGGCCATGGTGACACTTGAGGAGGAAGTCAATAGAGGAAGTTTGAAGTTGATAGTCGAGTTAGGAGGAATAATAGGAATTGAAGAAAGATTGATTATGGATACAGTAATCTTAAGTTCTTTTAGAGGTACGAGGGTGGTTACCACTTCCCGGTTGCCCATACCATGGAAGGTTTCTACCACAGGTACCTCGACCTCGGACCTTGGGTTTGCTGCTTTTAGTCTTACCGCTTTCCGACCGACCGGTCTGGCATGATAGGACCTTGATGAACGATTGTTCTAGCCAGTATAGCTAGATTGGTTCATCATGATAGACAAGCCCGACCACCACGCCAAGGCGGCAGCAACGTCTAGGAAGTGATATATTGAAGTAGGAATAGTGTTGGTAATAATAGGAGATCAAACAGCTGTCCAGTACATCCTAATTTTCAATATTTCTCCGGCTAAAGTAAGTTTATCTTGAAAAATATTACCAAATTGAATTAACTTTTACAATTTTCCATACCTTTAAAATAATCGTGTGCTCATAATTGACTAAGTACAAGATAGATTCGGCAAGTCTAAGCGGAAAGTACTGTCCAATACAGTTCGACTATGTCCAGTATCAGGACTCGGAAGTAAAACATAACACGTGGTACAATTTGACTGTGTTATGAACGTACGAAGCCGATCTCTAACAGAACTAACCAATAAAGAGCTGGACGCAACCATGGCCAATTTTGGACCACGTCACCTAACATCATAAACCGTGGGCTAGTTATTGAGTGGATCTTCGTCGCTAAGTCTCTTCCCATAGACACGAATGAGGCCGATGGTTCTGAAATACCCACCAATCCTACGTAAACCAACAATGAATGTCGGGGTTATAGATGACTGGGTGTACATAATAACTGTCCCAATTATTTCAGTCGAAGAAGGTATGTACACTAACCAGTCGACTTCCCATTCTGATATTTTACTCTACGCCAGAAAATACCATTACTCCCTCGATGGTTTCATTAAGCACCAGGAAATCTTTGAGGACGCCCGTAGTTAAATGCTTTCATCCTACGCAAGTCATTACTTAAGTAGAACATATATCGTAGTGACAGAGTCTACAACAGCATATTAACCTCACTCGCTTCACAAGTGAAACAAGTTTGCAAGAGCCAAGCACGTTTTTTGTACAGGTTTTAGGATTTTGTCACCCCACAACCACCGATACTAGAACTTCCATGATGGATTAAGTAGTTAACGCGATCAATTAACTTTTTGTTTTAAAATGGGTTATGACTTAGACCGGTGCTGAAGCAAAATTTTGCTTTCGTGAGGGGCACACGTCCCAAACGTGCATGGAATTTTACTTCGAGCATTTCAATCCGTGTGATTATTAGTGAACAGTTTAGACACAGTCAGACTGGCTCCTATGTAATTATCACAAGTATCCCTAGCCTTCTGTAGTAATTGATAAGCAACCGAAACCAGTGGAACGCAATTACATTCAAGGCTCAAACCCCAACTAATAACTAAGTCAATCTGTTAAACCCGAAAATCCACTCGAAAAACTAAGGAGTGAGCCTCGATCCAAATTAATTATAGCCGTTTCAATCTTACTGAGTCGGAGACCTGATGTCGATCTCCGATTCAGGGCATCGGTAAGAAGTTGCCGACTGTAGGGTAGCAGTAGGGTTTTGAATTTCCCTTTAGTATTCCGCTCAGTTTCGGTCACCAGTTTTAAGACTAGATCAAGATTTCATCTTTCTCAGAGATATCTTCGTTACCAGAAGAATTATTAGCCTCAGATCGCTTTATTAAGTCCATCGTTACTTATAATTGCTGCCTTGTGTATTTAATGTCACCAATGAGTAACCACTTTGATAGCCAACATTCAAGTTTCTCTTAATTGTTATTGCGTTCGTAACATACTAGGATGTACCTCCAAACCCACTAATCTAGCAGGAGCTTTCAGAATCGTGTTCTTTTTCAACCTATGGATTTAGGTTGCCAACGACCATCGCTGCCTTTATTATGGATTGAAGATAATATCAGAATGCTTTACGACGAACAATCCATTGGTGGTTGACGAAGCGCTTAGTTAGTTCTACCTTGGGGACACTTGAGATTTTATTCAAGATCAGTTTGTTTCTCCTGGATCCAATATGGAGCAAAAAAACTCATTGTCGGAGTGTGATAGTTATGCTATTGAACGGTGAAAAATATCGATATGGTCTATCTGTCCATTGTTGTAGTCTCAAAAGTAGATAGTTTTACAATCTTTCTTTTAGTGCCTAAACTTAGTAAGAATAAACAGCCGTCTGAAAATAGTTTTAACATCCGGAGCTGTAGCATAGTGGGACTGTAACCGTGTTTTGATGAGACCGATGTATATATGGTAAAGACAAACTGAAAATACCGTTTTGATTAGGCTCAAAAATCAAAACATTGAGGGTACTTTCAAGGAAGGGTTAACTACATGATTACTGGGGGATGGACTCTAATCTTCCATACAAATAGCCGTAACGACTGTTAGTAATCTTTATCAGAAAGTTAAGTAAGGTCAGTGAACTAACAAAGTTTCTTTAGAACAAATGGGTGACTGAAAACATCCCCCGGTAAGCTACAAGAACGAAGACGAGAAGGTAACCTTAATATGAGCTAACAGAGGTTTACATAATGATTATGAGGAGTGCTGAACAGTTTATTAACACAGGAAACAGAAAGAAGAATTGTCAATTTTACTAGGTAACAAATGAAAAGACAATTGTTTAAATGTAGAATGAATAGTCTTGAAAAGTTGTTAGTGCAAAAAGTGGAAAAAAGGTGGGCCATAATGATACACTTCCAGCATGCATCTGTGAACTTAACAGTGAAATTCCCACCCATGTTGTTAATAGTCAACCATCGTGCAGTTTAATGATTAATTCTTCCAATACAGTTTGATAAAAACTTGGATAACTGTGGTTTGATAAGACGAAAGATTATTAAATATCGAGGTCAAATCTTGAAATAGATTTCCAAATCACTCTAATGAAACATTTCCGAGAAAACAATAAGAAACCGTCTTAAGAATTTTATTTATATCAAAATATTAGTCAAAACCAGTAACCTACGAGTGCAGCAGGCCAATGAGGATGATAACCAATACTTAGCGATTTGCAGTTAATGGAACTGGAACCTGGAGCGGTTATTGTCAAATCACCCAATGAAGTTGTGGAACCGCCAACTGAAAATCCCGGGGGTGGTATTGAAGTAGATAACAAGCCTGTCAGGTCTGGAGTAACACGAGCCACCTCTTCAGCTGACATGTGTTAACTTGATACCCTCACCAATCCCAAGTATGTACACAGGTTGTAGAGCCAAAGCTCAAATGGGGCTAGAAAAATAAGAAGACCTATTAAAGTTAAAGATGAATAAATGACAAAACTAGTGAGAGGAAATTGATTCGAACCAAAAAAGGAAATAACTGAGGAATCAAGATCTAGATGCATTTCGGCTACATAGTAAACATTATTGAACTACTGTCATCGGAAAAAGAGTTCGATAAATACACACAATAGTCCCAAGAAATAAGTCATAAGACCATAACACAGAGTAGTAAGTTCTACGAGAGTTGTGGCTGGATGGTATTAGTTTATTCCTATTTGAAACTTAATGAGTAAAACATTACGAAATACAGGTGCATGAACAACAATTGAACCGAATTTTCCCTGTGTTAGATCTAGGCATACTGTCGGGCTGCCCAAAAATAAACAGGCACGCTAGATTCCGTGGCATAATGGTTAATAACTAAGCTTAACTTTGACATTTATCACGTTTTGTAAGAAGCTTTAAAAGATGAAGATCGAAGAGTCTAAACATTGTCTTGAGACAGTACCAGTTTTCTAAGTGTATGATAAATAGCTCATTAATATCAATTAATAGAATAAACGAACAGAAAGTAAAGGGAGTGTGAGAAAGTTTGGTCATGAATATCACACAACAATGATTGCGACATACGGCACATTCCTGCTTACAATCAGTCAGCTACAACGTAGGACCAGGCACATATGTGCATTGGTCCAGGTTGCCATACCGCATCAGCACAACAAGATGAACACCGGATTCATAGCAGTGATTAGGTCAAAGGTAGTAATATGTAAGAGAAAGATTGCATATAAGCATATAGTACAGGAAGAAAGAATTGGTTCGTAGAAAGAAAAATATGAAGCGATTTTAATCTCTCAGTTTAAGGGAAGACAGGGAGTGTATACACCGACGCCATTGTGATCTATTCTCAGCCACGTCACCAAGTCTCCAACCATTGGTTACGATAGTCACGCGGACCCCAACCAAGTAGTCTGCATCTACCAACATGGCTCAGACTAGAAGTTAGTGACTTCAAGCACTGATGCCATGTTTTGGTTTGGCCACCCCTAACTTTCTTCCAACCATTTCCAACGCCGGTTAGCATTGCACGTCATGGTAATAGGTGTTCAGGCATACGTAACACGTGGCCCAACCATCTTAGTCGATAAAGATTTACAACCTCACCAACTGATTTACCATCATTCCCTAATACCCTGAGTCTAACCTCACTATTACTCACCCGGTGATCCCAGCAGACGCCAGCAATATTTCTAAGGCATCTGTGCTCAAATACTAGTAGCTTACGAGTGTCTTCTACTCTTAATGGCCATGTTTCGCTGTCGCAAATTAAAACAGAACGGACTGCCGCGCAGTATACTCGTCCTTTTATTGATAGACAGATATCTCGCCTTTGCCATAGGTGACGTATGGTGGCAAAAGCCAAACGAGCTTTTCGAATGCGTGATGAGATTTCGTAGGACACCAACACATTAATGCTGGTCAGACTTCCAAGATAAGTGAAGTTGTAACGACGGACCACCGGTGAACTCGAGGAAGCTCTAAGAGGCTCAGGTGTTGACGCAGACCAGTCCTGAAGCAACAACTTGCATTTAGAGGGAGAGAAGCGCATTCCAAACATCCTGGTATTGTTGTTCAGTGCTACCAGAAGACTCTGCATTTTGTCAGCGTCTTCACCAAACAGGACTATGTCATCTGCGTATTCTAAGTCGATAAGTGGACCTCCTGGAAGGAGATCAATACCTGCTTACACGTCCAAAGCTAGTTGGAATACCATTAGATTGGAACAAAGGCGTAGACTACTTGATCAAAACATGGTGCCAGTATCAAATGGAATGTAAATTACCACTTTTTCGCAAATGCTAATTTGACTAGTCCTGGAGAGAACATATCACGGATATACTTCGAGAACATCTTTTTTCATGAGGACACAATTTCTGCATCAGTATTTTCATTTCCTCAGCTTTTTTCGTTGGTTTTCTTTGGTGTAATGTGACGACTAGGACTAATACGTAATCATAAAGTTTTACGTTCATTCTATACTTAGAATATTTAAGGTTAACTTATAAGCGTAACTTGAAGAGGTGTGAAGGGTAAGATAGCTTAAAATACGTAGTCCCCTTCAACTTTAATTTGTAAACAATGACCAAATACTTGTAACTCTGTGTGCGTAAACATAAACAAACTCGTATAGATATGCCAGGAAAGTCAGTGGATGACGCATTAGATGATACAAACTTAAGACCTGATTGGGAAATGGATTCTAAACCATAAAAATCTGATCGTTTCAGTGCATGAGCTACAAGGCGACCTTAGTATTTGATTTTTAGAATCCCATTATTAGAATTGAGATTGTATTAGACAGGAAATGTCTGTGTACTACCCATGTACTACAGATACCCTGAAAAATTATATGAAACTTTTCGAACCAGGGATGGCCAAGTGTACGCTTCAGAAAAACGATTTACAACTGGAAAACTTTTGTTCCCCAAGAATTAAAGCCAAAAGGGTAACGTTAAATAGTTCAACATACACCTAGTTAGCATACTGATGTCATATCAGTGCTATCTAGGCACAGTAACAGAAAAAAATGGGACAAAGGTGTATTGAAAAAAGGTGGCGATGTCACGTCAGTACAGCGATGGAACTGACAACGAGAGATAAATGATTTCAAACAGTATCAACGGTAGTGTGAAACGGATGCAGTCGGAAAGTGGTGTTGAATAGTATAAATACACAAAGCCTAAAGAAAGGTAAACGTAACTGAAGCAACTAATTTTGAATCCTGTCACTTAGTATCGGACCTAAGATTTTGATCACGAAATTCTACACGGCTTAGTCCAGCCATCAGTGTCTCTGAGGTTTGATAATGTAACTTTTTGGGCAATCCATGGGGCTTTGTTCAGCTAGTATGTTCATGCTTTTCTTCTGCCAAGTCTAAACATTAGTCTATGAACCTCAGCATTGTTGACATCGTGTTGCCACAGAAGGCAAGCAATAGTTCAAGGATAAAAATAATTGAATAGTTTGAAGGCTAGTTCTATTTCAACCATAAGAGCACAATTGAACTAGATGTCAAATAAGCCTGAAGCTATAGTTTAGTGATCTTTATGACAGTAGCGTTTTACAAAAAAAACGAAAGCATGAAATGAGACATAACAGAACCCCAAAAGGACGTTTTCACTCTTGTTCATTAACCTGTTAGACAATATGTGCTTTGGTTACCAGTTGGATCGATTTTCTTATATTAAGAAGTTGGACTAGAAGCATCTTCAAAGCTGACCTACATTGGTCTACGTACCTTAAAGGCTACACTAGGCTTACTTAGGTTGATCTGATCTGAAGTCCAACTACTTATCAATTTATAACTATCACCTACGAAATCTGAACTAAGACTAGTCAGAAGCTTTTGTGACATAAACTGGTTTAAATAAGTACTTAACAGTCTTCGTCGAAAAAAGGAAGACATCGAGGAAATTCTGAACATGTAGCTTAGACGACATTCACAACTCATTGGATAGTGCTTCAAATATCTTCTGATTATCTGTTAACTGACCACTATACTATCGTGGTCTGGACAAAATAGTAGTGATTTTACAGTCCCTTATCCAGGATGACAAGTTGACGAGAAACCCAGGAACAAAATGAAAGATGTGAGGCGTTGTCCTCAAGAAAATTCGGCAAACCTATCGGTTGCTAAATTGAAAATAGATCTACCAAGTTACCAGTACAGTGGGAGTTTTTCGACTATTTGATATTGTTGGTAGAATAAGTGATGTATGACCAACAGAAAGCATACTTTTACAGGTAAGTGCTATGCTTACAAAGAAACCACTAATGGGCTTAGCCAACTATACTGTATTACTTATCAATATAACGATGAGTATCCGACATGAAATTACAAGAACCTGATCAATAGTACAAAGTGATCGTCTTTCAGGATCATAACCTGGCAGATCTTCGTTCACGAATGTTACCAACAAAACGGGAATCATATAGTGTTTGTACTATATATACCCACTGTGGCTTCATATAAAGGGCTAATGGTAATAAACAAAGAACTAATAGAACTCGTTTTAGCCTGTACAACAGGACAGACTCGTTGATAGTGTCAAGAGTCTAATCAGGATCTCATATATTGGGATTTTAACAAGATTGCATATTAAGTACGATAAATATAAGCCTAGCATTAACCAGTATATGATTATCAACAAAACCAAACCTTCGAAACTTGCTAGCTGGAATTATATACGAAAAATTCCGCTACTGACTATAGAGATACAGTTAAGTCATTTTCATTTTTGATGATATTTTCAAATATAGATCCATCAACGATAATTCCACTGTAGCTCCAAACAAATCCGAATGGGGTAGTCAATTCAGGCACTTATTAGATCAATTTTAAAGGCGCAAACTTGTCTCCCGTTTTACATGCATAGAATTATTGAAACTGCAGTTCATACAACTGACTGGCCTTCACAACTCACAAATATGTACAGTATATACAACCGACCCAACGCCCGTATATTCCGCAACTAGCCACAAAATGAGAGAACCTTGAAGCATTTAAACAAAAGATTGTATGTAGAAATATCACTTATTAAATTAATCACTGAACTTCTATATTTTTTCATTGTAAGAAAAGATTGCCAGGGGCTGATAGTTACATGGTTAGTTTGTTACACATGACTGTTGGTAAACTTTGGTCATCCAATTAAAAGATTGGACATATCTTTAACTATCCCACACTTTTTCTACTCTGGGTTTAAAATTTTAGGTAATGATTTTCACTATCTCAGATGTTTTTGTGAGAGATGTACTTCGAAATAACCACTCAAACTTTCTAAATACTATACAGATCTTTCCTAACATTTTTTGTCTTACGGTGTTTAAATGAACCAATGTCCCATTTAATGATATCTGTTTGGGAGATATGACAAGTTTAATTTCATGCAATCTGATTGGTCGACAGCCAGTTTTAATACCAATTTGAACTAAAAAGCAGCATACTTTTTCCAGTGACTTAACTGCTGACAGTCTAAAGAGTGATTATTCAGTATTTTGTTTTTCATGCCGATGTGTCGGAAATTACTCCTAGTATTTAGACATGTCAATCAGCCAAGCTGACGCTGATGAAGAATGTCTAGTTTTTCCTGCAATAACTAAAAATTATTCAGAAGTAAAAAATACGGATGGATTATCAGTGGAATTAAACAATACACCACCCAACCCAAACTCTTTTTCTCGACCTCTACGTTCCACTTTAAAAACAAAATCGAAGTTCGAATCCGAAAAAATCAGACAAACTGGTTATAATAGCTCAGAACGAAATAATAAACTATACGCAGTAACTACTAGAGGACAAAAAAATCCTGACAGCTCAATCCATATGATTTATAAATTCGACTCTATGGAGAAAAACAGTGCTATGAAAAATCAATTCCCAACCCTTAAAAATGACATGGAAGTATGTGATTCGGATCAAACCACTCCATGTGGATCTAAAGAGCATTTAAAGAGGCCTTCTATACAACAGTTAAGAAAGTACTCGGTCGTGGATCCGAATACTCTTAAGTTTATAGAAGGTTAGGATTATTATTATTATTATTATTATCATTATTATTATTATTATTATTATTATTATTATTATTATTATTACAGTGTCATGATATTCGTACCCACTTTTTAGCTTAAATATTGGTTTATCACTTACATTATGAATTTCATACGACACACTGGTTCATTATTTTTGTTCACATTGGCATCAAAACATAATCGTGTAGCATAATTCTTATTGAGAACTTCTTGGAATTCCATATTATTCTAACAATGCACATTGAATTTCTTTATCAAGAGAGTATAAGTTATATAGACTTGTTCAACAAAATATTCATCTTTTCTTAAATCTGTTTCTGTTTACGAAAAGATTTCAATTTCTACGTTAAAAATCACTAATTATCTTTTGATCATTTGCATATCAGTATGAAGGTTAGATTAACAGGTTTATAATTGCTCCTTTTAATGTATATACATTAAGATTTCGCTTGATTTGATCATATACCTTGATAACTGGTTTTTAAGCAAAATTAATTAACGTGTGAAAAATGAAACTGATCTTATTTTCTCCCATCAATTTGATACATAAAATACTCATATTGCTAATAATTAAATACATGTATGTAAGTTTAACAGGATATTATACTAGCTTCAACTAGAAACTATAAATTGTTAATACTAAAGAAATTAATGATTAACTGCTAAACTAACATATACACACACACATAATTTCATTATGGAACTATATTTGTTTGGTTAATCATTGGAAATTAATACACATGTTTCGTCTAGGTCTCAAATTCTTTAATAGCCTATATTCACAACCCTCATGGTAAACATGATGCAATCAGAACATTGACTCAAGTTAATTCTCTCTGATTGTAAATGATAAATCTCTTGATATTTGATAAAGTTATAAAAATTAAATGTCAAACATGCCTTTAAAAAAAACTTTGACAAAAAGCAGTTTGACATGGATATTATTTCCATCGGTTCACTAATTCATTTGAAATTCTACACAAAACTACAGGAATTCTTTCATTACAAAATATGTTTGTATATGGTATAGTCAAATTAAACAATTACTAATTAATCTATTACTAAATAGATTAAAAGAGATTAAAATCGCTTCATATCTTTCTTCCTACGAACTAATTCTTTCTTCCTGTACTATATCCTTATATGCAATCTTTCTTTTATATATTACCACCTCTGAATTAACTACTTTTATGAATCCGGTGTTCATCTTGTTATGTTAATGAGGTATGGGAACTTGTATCGATGCATATATGTGCGTGGTTCTACGTTGTAACTGACTGACTGAATCTATTACTAAATTGGTTAAAATTTATTATTTGAAGGTAAAATGTAATTTATGTTAGACTACTATATAGACTAGATTATGTTAGTGCTTTTCTGAATCACTTCCATGGGTAATTGTAATGGCTTGTAATTTTTCATCTTTTTATTTATGACTACTATTGATTAGTTTTTATTAGTATAGTGTATATCCTGAGCAAATTATCTTGATTTAGGTCCTTTCCTAAGTTTTAATATATTCGAATTGCGACTAACACTGAAATGTAAGAAATACATTTCATCCTATCTAGTATTTTTCACATTAAACGATAACTCATTATCCATTGTGTTATGGAATTCAAAATAGAAAGAAATACACTTTCTGGATTCCAGTCCCAGCAACTAATGAACTTTACTTAAACTTGTGACTAAATGACAATATCATGGCAATTTACTGAGTATGTACCTATCGATTGCAGTCCTAAATATAAATAATGGGAGAATATGAACACTTTAAAAAAACAACCTCGGACTCATTGAACACTTTTGTGACTTTTTATATTCATTTTCTCGGTAGATAACACATAAACATATAAAGTGAAAGGTTCCGGGTTCAGATCTCAATGTAAATGCCAATACTGAACCACAGGTACGTCTAACTGATGAATGTCAAAAAGTAAATAATACACGTCCATAATTCCCCTGCCAGCCGCAATCCATCTCTAATAATAATATCATTCTTATTAGAACTTATTAACAATAATTATGTTAATTTTTATTTCTATTACATTAATGATAATAATAGATTTACCCATTACTATATTTTAACATTTATCTCATTGATATCAGAAGGGGTTTTATGGAGATTGTAGTAATTTCAATAGTTGGAATCATGAGTCAACCGTAAAAATCTTCAATCATGTCTAAACTGTATAATATACTTAATGCATAGTATCCCAGTGTATCCATCACTTTCTAATTTGTTCAAGAAAAAAAAAGTAGAAAAACGTATATTAACGACTATGATTCTTTTTGGTTTTTCGTTTCTATCTCAATATTTCAATACCGTTATTTATTATTTATTTGTTTAAACACATAGATATTGGTACAATTGGGCACCGAATACATATGAACCACACAAATTTCATTTGACTTGAGCTGGGATACTGTCCGGGTGCCCGAACCGAAGCACGTGGTTTTCTTAGGGGGCCACACCCGTAGCCTTCGACCTGAAGGTCTGGTCCACAAGGCAGTGGGACATCGTAAGGAGATACAGTCCCATGGCAGCCGGTGACCAACGATTGGTTCATGTGCCATTTGTCTCCTCAGGATACTGGAGCCCATGTGCACCAATGGTTTGGAATCAGGGTTTTCCAACTCCTCTAGGTGGGCTCTCTGTTTTCACCAACCCGGTTAAAGTGCCAGACATTCGCTTTTCGTTCTCTCAATTTCGTAAACAACACCCCCGTCACTAGGAGGCAGTGAGTAGGACTTCCCTGGCAGATGCTATAAACGCGTGGTCATGTGAGAGCATTTGGAGAGGGAGAGCAGACTCTACCCACTCTCGGCCGCACTAGGGCATTTGGGGGCTTTCAATAACGTATTAGATTGTGAGTAAATTTATAAAAGTCCATAAGTACATTTTACCATTTACAAAGATCATTATTTCATTAAAACTAATAGTTGTAAAATTTAAAAGAAAAAAAATTGAGCTATAAATTTGGTTAGTCGAATTGTTCATTCAGTCAAAGTATTAATTACATAATTCATATTAAGTAATGTATAAATAAGTGCATCATTGATGCGTAACTAGATACAATTTAATACCATACTGTCTAATATTAGTTATGGTTCAGTAAATTCTATCTATAAAATTTCTAAAAAAAAATAATACAATAATTGTGTTAAATTAAAAGTAGTAAAGGTGAATTGAATTTTTTCATGGACAATTGATGTACAGTAATTAACTGAATAATTAAATTTGTACACTTGGTATTGTTTACTTGAATCTTCTTATGGATGTTTAGGATGTGCATCCTATATGGATTACCTCGATATTGCCGAAAGTCACAAGCATTATAAGCAATGATGGATGATGGCAGTTCTTAATATCAATGGGAAGATTCAAGCAAACAATATCAAGTAAATTTAAACTTCAATTGAAAAAGTATTCAACTTAACCCTTTTAGTTTAGAACTATTTACCTTCAAAGAAATTATCCGATATTTGTTTCTGTATTCTTACATCTTTATAACTAAATATCGCATCTTAATAAATAAGAACTTTCGTCTAAATTTGAACGAATAGTTTCACAATATTTGGGCGCCGAGTTAATGTGAATCATTAAGGAGGAAGAATGTGTTTGTAAAATCTCAGCGAAAGAATTTGAAGTAAATCCAACGTTTCGCCTGGCAATCTGGTCCAAGCTTTTTCAAAGAAAATATTATATATATATATATAATATATTCGATAATTTTATTATTTGATTATATTTTCCTTGAAAAAGCTTGGACCAGAATGCCAGGCGAAACGTTGAATTTACTTAAAATTCTTTCGCTGAGATTTTACAAACGCATTCTTCCTGTTTAATAAATATCGCATCTTTAGGATCGAATTCGTAAGAGTAAAGATTTAAAGCATCATTATTATCTTAACTTATAGTATAATAATTTATTCATCTATATGTATGACTCAATGAATTGAATAGAATATTTTAATAATGAACAAAAATACATTGGAAAATTATGATAATTTGTTCAGTAATATTTTGTTAATTGTTCTTTTCTGTCTCCCTTTAAATTGTTTATAAACAAATAGAAAAACGCGGAATTCGTAGAAATCTCAAGTGTTCAACAGCAATAATCACAATGTTACTATGAATAATAGTAATAACGGTAATAATAATAATAATAATAATAATAATAATAATAATAATAATAGCAATAATAATAATAATGAAAGAGAATTAGGCCAAGAATAATCATAACGAGAGAACATAATAATACCTCTTATTAATGTATAAATGAAACGGTCTTGTTTATTTTCGAATATCTAATTCATATTCATTGAATATCATGTTTAAGTGGAAATTTCTTCATATTATTTCATAAGTAGTCATTTGTCCATGGTTTTGTTTGTATATCGATGTACCGCTATGTATACACAAGGGTATTGTGAAAAATTTAGCGCAAACTAATATGCATCTTTGTATGTGGACATATATATATATATATATATATATATATATATATATTCTTCTGAGATTCATAGTCTAGGGAATAAATTTATTGTTTAGTGTAAATAAAAAGCTAGTATTACTAATACTTACTAAATTTCATTTCTGAATATTGTATCTCTAGTAAACAATTGTATATTTGTGCAAGAATAACTAAACATATAGACGTTTAATTTGATGTTTTCTCTTACTGGTTTTCTTTTTTAATATTATATGTGATCAAACTGAAAATTCACTGTGCCCTATTAATTACACTGAGCTTGAAAGACACATTCCAGGTGAGGAACGGAGTCGGACAAAGCTTTATAATATTACCCTTTCTCTTTCTCCTGGTGATTGGCTGGGTCATGAAGACCTTGACATCTGAGAAGGAGCATGAAATATAACGGACAGCCTCCATACAACTAGACGATTCGTACTTTGCAGATGACCTGATTGCTCTATCCCATACACACCAATAAATGGAGGTCAAGACAACAAGTGTAACAGCAGCTT